GATTGCCAATCATATCTGTTCCTGTCCAAGGTAAGCCACTTAAAGTTTATCTGTCCACTTATAACAAGGTTGTGGGTGCTTTAGTTGCCCAAGATGATCAAGAAGGCAAAGAACAACTTGTTTGTTATGTCAATTGAAACCGTAAGGGAGTTGAATTAAGGTACCTTCTCATCGATAAAATTTGGCTTACATTGATTTATGTCTCTTAATGTTTTCAACATTATTTCTTGGCTCACAAAGTATAACTCATTGCCAACCCATTTAGTTTCTCTTGACTTGGCTTATGCTTACCGACCATCTTGCTAATTGGCTTTTTCAATTATCTCAACATGATATTACATGTGTTGATGGACATTTTTGTAAAAGGTTAAACTTAGACTCAGGTAGTTTCCACGTTACCAAGACCCACCTTGATCTAAGCGTCTATTAATGCCTTCAATGTGCATTTACTAAAAGGCCTAGCAATATTTGATGTTGTAATACATGGCTAGGCCCAATAATAAGTAATGTTGCAGTACATGGCTGCATTGCTAGAAATACATAAGGAAGTCATTTTCTTTTATTATTTCCTTATATATTAAATCTCATCATTTTCATCAACTTATTATTATTTCTAGATGCAAGTCATCAATGAACCCATGAATCCAAGCTCATGGGGATTATTCAAGGTAAACTATAGGAGTAGTGGCTTGGCAGGTATGGATGGGTGAATGTTGCTTGTATGGCAAAACGAGATATTCACACTAGCGAAGCTTGGCATTGGCGATGTTGCTTGACCTCACCAAAAAAGGTTGGGTGGCAAAGACATGGAGGCTGAACTTGGTCCCAAAATCATACTGTTTGATGCTAACTAGAAGCTTGGAATCTCATTTAAAACCAATAAGAGATGCTATGTTGGTTACCATCAGCAACTTGTAACTGTATATAATGTAAGGGTAGTTGCACAAATTCCATGGCCTTGGGAACTATTGAAACAGATAAACACAAAAACAGATCAAATCTTCAACAAAACTAAAAACCAAAAGACATAAAGAGAAATTTAAAGTTCATCATCAATTACATCTTATTGCCAGCAAACAACACATTTA